CGATCCACCTTTCTCGTCGATGATGATGCCAAGATATGTGAAGGTGTTAACGTCCTCCATGGCATCTCCATCAAGCGTGATTCGGTTGGTGCATGTTGTGTTGCATCGGAGAATTTTGCTTTTTCCTTTATGTATGTTGAGACCTACTGCTGCAGAGGCTGCTGCTACACTGGTCGTCTTCTCTTGCATTTGTTGTTGAGTGTGCGATAGAAGAGCCAGGTCATCTGCGAAGTCCAGATCGTCCAGCTGCGTCCTAACTGTCCAGTTGATACCGTGCTTCCCTCCAGATGTTGACGTCTTCATAATCCAGTCGATGACCAGGAGAAAGAGAAAGGGTGAGAGTAAGCAACCTTGCCTGACACCGGTCTTCACCTCGAAAGAGTCTGTCAGCTGTCCTCCGTGCACGATTTTGCAGTTGAATCCATCATAAGAATTCCGTATGATGTTGACTATTTTCTCAGGCACACCGTAGTGTCGAAGAAGCCTCCACAGTGTTTTCCTATCCACGCTATCGAATGCTTTCTCGTAGTCGATGAAGTTGATGTAGAGTGGTGAGTTCCATTCAATTGATTGTTCCACAATGATCCGTAATGTAGCAATTTGGTCAGTACACGATCGACAAAATATAGAAAGAATAACAATATACAATGATAAAATCTCAAATTGGAAACACATAAAATACCAAAAATGTCAAGAGAAAAAGTCCATCATGTCATAGCAAAATATGTAAACATGGAGGGATTTTCCAAAAACACAAAACATTCAAAAAGAATTCTACATTCATAGTGTTGCAACTTGGTCAGTACACGATCGATCCTTACGAAATCCGGCCTGTTGATCTCGAAGTCGGGCGTCTACGAAGTCCTTCATTCTGTTTAACAATACCCTGTTGAAGACTTTGCCTGGTATTGAAGGAAGAGTGATGCCTCTGTAGTGCTCACACTTACTGAGATCGCCTTTCTTTGGTATTTTGATGAGGTATCCTTCTTTCTAGTCTGATGGTACTTGTTCCTCATCCCCAATCTTCTTGAAGAGGATGTGAAATATTTTCGCAGTTGCTTCCACATCTGCTTTCATCGGTTCTGCTAGAATGTTGTCTGGTCCTGCTGATTTGCCACTCTTGATTGCTCTGATGGCCATGCTGATCTCTTCAATTGTTGGTGCGCCAACACCAATTAGGATGTCCTTGGATGCTGCTTCGATGTTGGGTGGATTCAGCGGAGCTGGCTGATTCGAGAGTTCCTCAAATTGTTCTACCCACATGTTTCGCTGTTCTTCGACCTCTCTGATTACTTTTACTTCCTTGCTTGTCACTGGTTGTTCTGGCTTACGACAATATTCGGAGAGCTTTTTTGTATCATATAATTGTCTTATTTTCCTTCTTCTTGCAGCCCTTTCCGGTGTCATTTCTAGATCTTCTACATTTTAACTTTTGTGGGCTGTGATGCTCTTCTTCACTTTCCTGTTTGCTTCTGTGTATTCAGCTAGTGCCTTAACTTTCTCTGTCACTGTTTGGCTCACATTGATTGCGGCCATCTTGTTCCTCCTTTCTTCGATTTTTTAAAGAGAATCAACAGAGATCCCTTCATTGTGATGGTACTTCCTATGGCACAGAACCTACTAATATGTTGAAGGGGTTACCTCCTTTGTCCCCTCTCAACTGTCCTCCGTGGTGGCTTCCTTTCCATTGAGCAGATCATGAAAAGCATGGAACCTGTTGCTCATAGCTATCCTGAATTAGTTGAGTCCTGGATCCATGAGATTCCCATCCTATCAGTGCCTTTTGTGCTTGTTTGGACGGCATCAGTGCAACTCCATGTGTATTTGAAGAATTTTCCCCTTCGTGACCAGAGTATGACAGCAGTTCCCCTGAAGCTAGTCTCAGTTCTCCGACTTACATCCAATGCGTTTCACTGATTCCTAACACCTCCAGATTGTATTATTTTTATCTCTGCAGCAACTTTAAATAGTCTTCCAGTCTCCCACAATGTTCGAACGTTCCATGTACCTAAAAGAATGGTTGCTCTGGTTGTGAGAAGGTGCATCGGCCTCGTGACTTCCGAGGGAACTCGACTTTCAGCATGAGACGTCATAATTTTCCTGAAAGAAGACCTTAGTGCCAGAGCAGAGTAAAAATGGTTTGAATTGATTTTTCTGGTTGGCGATTTTTGGCGAGTTAGTTTTCTACGGGATAGGGTCTTCAGCCCGATGGCCGACCCTCCTCCTTTATCCAGGCTTGTACCGGCTATAGCCGGAGATCGACTCTACAAGCAGTCGCGCTACGCTGTGTTGATCTTATAAGCCCACTTTTCGGACAACCACATATATTAACCATTTCCTCATTAAACACTTATGCCCTTTTGACCTTGTTTCGTTATCTGATATGTTTTAGGTTGCCCGAATAAATATAGGTTTTTGTCAAAAAACTACTTATCATTGTCTTCTAACCTAGATTTGCTATACTGGCAGAAGAAACACTACATGATTATTTGGGGTGAATATAAGTCACATACTATAGTTGCTTTCAGAGGTAATATAGTTGTCTCTGTTTAGATATAGGTCGAATGATGTATTTACCAGTTGAAGGACTCACTCAGTCATTAGAAAAACCATTTAAGAGATAAAATACGATGAGTGCATCTGGAAATCATCAAGATGGCTACATATGCCAGAGTAGATTATGGCTATACGAGCAACAGAATGATTACTTTTTAAACGATTATGAGGACTTTTTTTCTGACGGAACTGCTCTTTTATGCATGCTAACTTTTATTAAAGACCTATGTAGCCATTTCAATATTTCTTGGTTTCTTTTGAATAAACCGTTATCTGCTTTAATCGTTTATTCTTATAAATTCCAATATCAAATAACTTTTTCTCTAGATTTTCTTTCTGTTCGCTTCTTTTAGTTTCAGCACGAGGCCGGGAATTTCGTTGTTATATCACGCTTAACCATTGACAACAATGACTTACTTGACCGGTTCCAAAATTACTGCATGGAGAGATTGATTCTAATTTTTCTTTGATGGTCTGTTTGAAACGCTCACATAATAAACAGAAATAGACAGATTTAATGCATTTTTTATTCACAGTTTGAGCAGTCATGTAGTCAAGGGAAATCAAGCGAGAAATTGTGTACGAAGAGATCATTATTAAGCAAAAAAATCCGAAGTTTGCCGTTCGATTTAATTCTTGTAGATATTGTGGTGGAAGTTTGTTCTCTGCGATGTATGGTTTGGTCGTGCAGCTCTCAGTACTCTTCTGAACAGCATCATCACAATTTCCTGATAAAAATAAAGTATCCGAATTTCTCTACATATGACTCATAGCTTGTCCCATCGACCACCAAAGGTTACTAATGACCTCTAGCCCGTCCCTATACTTTGATAATATCCACCCTTAATTTGATTATTCATCCCATATTTATCTATGATTTTTCTAACTGGTCGAGAAATAGGATCGATTTCAGTTCGCTTCTTGATTGCCGATTGACCTAGTATTCTTCCTATCCAAGATTTCGACATTTTCCAGGAGAAAATACGTCCCAAATTAGTAGTGATTCCACTTCTGCGAAAAAAATGCGATTGGTAAAACAAAAACATTCACTCATAATCAATTGTACCAGTGATTGTTTTACTGAACTTCTTGTTTTGTTCGCACTTTTTATACACACGTCTCCGATACTTGGTTGCCAATTCGATTTTGGCTCATATTCTGTCACGATTTCAGTATTCTTTTGGTGCCGCGAAATCGCAAATATACTCCTTACTCTGGACTATCTCTTCTTCCCTGTTTTTGGTTCACGACAAGAAAACCTTTAAGACCCGTACGTAACTGGTTGGTAGTGGTGTTCATAGTCAACCGCTGTTCGAAACTCTACAAGTTGTCCTCATTTATTGATATAAGGGGAGATATACCATACTCTTTGGCTGCTTATTGGTGATCACATAGGTGAAGCTGAATAGTATTCCCTGTCTGATGTAGTGCTTTTTGTGATCGGAAGAGTGTACACTTTAGTTGGTATTTGATTTTTCCCCTTTTGTCCATTGATCTGCATAGGATTGATTAAAGTGAACTTGCTGGTTTGTCATGCCTATTCCAAACGGCTTCAGTAATCTCGTTGCAACTTCTGACGTATTTACAGTAGAATGCTCGGTTCGTTGGTTTCAATACTTACAGACAGAAACTGACCCACACGCTGTCGGAAATGTCCTTGTACATTGTAGCTACTCATTAATCACCTTTAGCTGTATAGCGTATTCCTTAGTGCTAGATAAACTTTTGACTATATGGTATGCAAATGAAATTGTTCCTGATGCACATGGCTATAAAAACTTTGTGATGCCGCAGAAAATTTACGTTTTGACATAATTGTCGACTACATATGATTTTTATTAACCTACGTACACTATAAGTAAGAACATAACAGTTTTACATATTTAAACTGCTGTCAGTTCCTGTGGTCAACAACCTAACCACACACTATATACGGGTATATCCAAAAAACAGGATATACAATAATGATAGACTTTCCACTTGCTTTTCATCAAAATGCCTATTAATAAACCATACCAATTCTTTCAAATGTTCTAAAAAATAAAAGCCAATAACGACTTATTTCGTACTTGAGTTTTTATTACCAATGCACAACATATATCGAAAAACTTCACAATTGAATTAGCTTTACTTGCTAGAAAACAAAACCAAAAGAACCAGGATATAATATAAAATTAATAAATGCTTTTTATGAAAAAAAAAAGTTAATTTAAGCGTATAATACTAGTAGTACAATAGAAATGAGATACCCATTAACTGAAATAAAAACAAGTGATGTAATAACAAAGGACTAGAATGCATAAAAGAAAACAATTAAAAAAAAGATATAAAAACAACGATGAAAATATAATAAATATTGTAAAATGTCATGGTTAGGTAAATATTGCACATGTATAGCAAGAAAAAAATGCGGTCATGGTTTTCCAAAAAATGAGGATAGCGTCTATGGATGGTTAAGTGCGCAGGACCAGTTCGAATTTAAAGTCCGACAAGTAATGTAAACGTTGATGTAAAACACTATGTAACTGAAATTCATCATCATTGTCTACTAGTAAAACAAATGAAGATAGTGAAAATTTAAGCATAACAATTAAAATTAATATAGCCCGAATTCAATTCAAAAAATCTGATTAAACAACAAACATATAAGGAGATTAGCTCTCTACCCACCTGCTAAGTCATAAGCAGAATCTACTAAATAAGAAATTGAATTCTATAATTTCGTATTCTTTGTAATATTAGCTTTAATAGCCATTGTTACAAAATGTGATGCCATTTTTATTGTGAAGTCTAAAAGTGTAAGTAGGAAGAAAAAGAGCTTTATCTACAGATGTTTTTTAGTTGAGCGATGTTAAATTGCGTATATTTTGCACTGGAATATCTGTTCTCAAAGACAAGTGGCTTTCAGAAATACTAAAATAACTTGAAAGAAACTTTCTATGAATGATCTAAGTTACGATTAAAGTATAGTTATATGAACATTTTCAACGGTGAATCTCTGATCAATAACCATATGGGATAGTGTATGATACCTACAAAAATGGGAGTTGATTTTAATGGAATTGGAAAGTGGAGTTAGGACATAATTCAACGTACAAGAAAGCAAGTGATAGGATATTCATCCAATATCCTAAGAGAATTATTTGTAAGTCCAGTTCTATTGGTTAATTCCTACTGGTTAATATTATGGTTGTCCTAGATATCAATGTCACGTAATTCAATGTTGTTTCCCATTGGTCGTCCTAACTGCATAAATACGCAATATCTGCAACGTTTTATGACCAGGATCCGGACTCAGGTCCCTAGTCCAGGATCCTGATTCTCTTCTGGACTCGCACCTCGTACTTTCTGGATGCTTGTAGAATATAGGTCCTACTTCATATCTTCTTTTACTCAATGGGTGTGACACCATGAGACCACCGTTGCATTCTCTCTCTAAACGAATCGCTCAACAACGGGAGGTGAGGTGAGGAAGATAGAAAGGAGGTGAGATTTTCGCCGTGTTTTGCTTTTTTTTTTTTTTTCTGTCATCTGTGTCCACCCTATGTTGTAGTTCAGGGTAACAGAAGCATATATGGCAGCGTTAGGGACCTTTGGTCTTGGCTAACACCAGGCTCCAGCTAAAGTGCACGAGGTGCGAGTGCTCTAGGTACGAAAGAATCAGGATATGGTCCTAGGACGCGTAGGTTTGACGCGTTGTTCTTATCCGGATCCTGGTCATAAAACGTTGCTAAGATATTGCGTATTTATGCAGTTAGGACGACCAATGGGAAACAACATTGAATTACGTGACATTGATATCTAGGACAACCATAATATTAACCAGTAGGAATTAACCAATAGAACTGGGACTTACAAATAGATTCTCTTAGGATATTAGGATGAATATCCTATCACTTGCTTTCTTGTACGTTTGAATTATGTCCTAACTCCACTTTCCAATTCCATTAAAATCAACTCCCATTTTTGTAGGTATCATACACTATCCCATATGGTTATTGATCAGAGATTCACCGTTGAAAATGTTCATATAACTATACTTTAATCGTAACTTAGATCATTCATAGAAAGTTTCTTTCAAGTTATTTAGTATTTCTGGAAGCCACTTGTCTTTGAGAACAGATATTCCAGTGCAAAATATACGCAATTTAACATCGCTCAACTAAAAAACATCTGTAGATAAAGCTCTTTTTCTTCCTACTTACACTTTTAGACTTCACAATAAAAATGGCATCACATTTTGTAACAATGGCTATTAAAGCTAATATTACAAAGAATACGAAATTATAGAATTCAATTTCTTATTTAGTAGATTCTGCTTATGACTTAGCAGGTGGGTAGAGAGCTAATCTCCTTATATGTTTGTTGTTTAATCAGATTTTTTGAATTGAATTCGGGCTATATTAATTTTAATTGTTATGCTTAAATTTTCACTATCTTCATTTGTTTTACTAGTAGACAATGATGATGAATTTCAGTTACATAGTGTTTTACATCAACGTTTACATTACTTGTCGGACTTTAAATTCGAACTGGTCCTGCGCACTTAACCATCCATAGACGCTATCCTCATTTTTTGGAAAACCATGACCGCATTTTTTTCTTGCTATACATGTGCAATATTTACCTAACCATGACATTTTACAATATTTATTATATTTTCATCGTTGTTTTTATATCTTTTTTTTAATTGTTTTCTTTTATGCATTCTAGTCCTTTGTTATTACATCACTTGTTTTTATTTCAGTTAATGGGTATCTCATTTCTATTGTACTACTAGTATTATACGCTTAAATTAACTTTTTTTTTCATAAAAAGCATTTATTAATTTTATATTATATCCTGGTTCTTTTGGTTTTGTTTTCTAGCAAGTAAAGCTAATTCAATTGTGAAGTTTTTCGATATATGTTGTGCATTGGTAATAAAAACTCAAGTACGAAATAAGTCGTTATTGGCTTTTATTTTTTAGAACATTTGAAAGAATTGGTATGGTTTATTAATAGGCATTTTGATGAAAAGCAAGTGGAAAGTCTATCATTATTGTATATCCTGTTTTTTGGATATACCCGTATATAGTGTGTGGTTAGGTTGTTGACCACAGGAACTGACAGCAGTTTAAATATGTAAAACTGTTATGTTCTTACTTATAGTGTACGTAGGTTAATAAAAATCATATGTAGTCGACAATTATGTCAAAACGTAAATTTTCTGCGGCATCACAAAGTTTTTATAGCCATGTGCATCAGGAACAATTTCATTTGCATACCATATAGTCAAAAGTTTATCTAGCACTAAGGAATACGCTATACAGCTAAAGGTGATTAATGAGTAGCTACAATGTACAAGGACATTTCCGACAGCGTGTGGGTCAGTTTCTGTCTGTAAGTATTGAAACCAACGAACCGAGCATTCTACTGTAAATACGTCAGAAGTTGCAACGAGCATTACTGAAGCCGTTTGGAATAGGCATGACAAACCAGCAAGTTCACTTTAATCAATCCTATGCAGATCAATGGACAAAAGGGGAAAAATCAAATACCAACTAAAGTGTACACTCTTCCGATCACAAAAAGCACTACATCAGACAGGGAATACTATTCAGCTTCACCTATGTGATCACCAATAAGCAGCCAAAGAGTATGGTATATCTCCCCTTATATCAATAAATGAGGACAACTTGTAGAGTTTCGAACAGCGGTTGACTATGAACACCACTACCAACCAGTTACGTACGGGTCTTAAAGGTTTTCTTGTCGTGAACCAAAAACAGGGAAGAAGAGATAGTCCAGAGTAAGGAGTATATTTGCGATTTCGCGGCACCAAAAGAATACTGAAATCGTGACAGAATATGAGCCAAAATCGAATTGGCAACCAAGTATCGGAGACGTGTGTATAAAAAGTGCGAACAAAACAAGAAGTTCAGTAAAACAATCACTGGTACAATTGATTATGAGTGAATGTTTTTGTTTTACCAATCGCATTTTTTCGCAGAAGTGGAATCACTACTAATTTGGGACGTATTTTCTCCTGGAAAATGTCGAAATCTTGGATAGGAAGAATACTAGGTCAATCGGCAATCAAGAAGCGAACTGAAATCGATCCTATTTCTCGACCAGTTAGAAAAATCATAGATAAATATGGGATGAATAATCAAATTAAGGGTGGATATTATCAAAGTATAGGGACGGGCTAGAGGTCATTAGTAACCTTTGGTGGTCGATGGGACAAGCTATGAGTCATATGTAGAGAAATTCGGATACTTTATTTTTATCAGGAAATTGTGATGATGCTGTTCAGAAGAGTACTGAGAGCTGCACGACCAAACCATACATCGCAGAGAACAAACTTCCACCACAATATCTACAAGAATTAAATCGAACGGCAAACTTCGGATTTTTTTGCTTAATAATGATCTCTTCGTACACAATTTCTCGCTTGATTTCCCTTGACTACATGACTGCTCAAACTGTGAATAAAAAATGCATTAAATCTGTCTATTTCTGTTTATTATGTGAGCGTTTCAAACAGACCATCAAAGAAAAATTAGAATCAATCTCTCCATGCAGTAATTTTGGAACCGGTCAAGTAAGTCATTGTTGTCAATGGTTAAGCGTGATATAACAACGAAATTCCCGGCCTCGTGCTGAAACTAAAAGAAGCGAACAGAAAGAAAATCTAGAGAAAAAGTTATTTGATATTGGAATTTATAAGAATAAACGATTAAAGCAGATAACGGTTTATTCAAAAGAAACCAAGAAATATTGAAATGGCTACATAGGTCTTTAATAAAAGTTAGCATGCATAAAAGAGCAGTTCCGTCAGAAAAAAAGTCCTCATAATCGTTTAAAAAGTAATCATTCTGTTGCTCGTATAGCCATAATCTACTCTGGCATATGTAGCCATCTTGATGATTTCCAGATGCACTCATCGTATTTTATCTCTTAAATGGTTTTTCTAATGACTGAGTGAGTCCTTCAACTGGTAAATACATCATTCGACCTATATCTAAACAGAGACAACTATATTACCTCTGAAAGCAACTATAGTATGTGACTTATATTCACCCCAAATAATCATGTAGTGTTTCTTCTGCCAGTATAGCAAATCTAGGTTAGAAGACAATGATAAGTAGTTTTTTGACAAAAACCTATATTTATTCGGGCAACCTAAAACATATCAGATAACGAAACAAGGTCAAAAGGGCATAAGTGTTTAATGAGGAAATGGTTAATATATGTGGTTGTCCGAAAAGTGGGCTTATAAGATCAACACAGCGTAGCGCGACTGCTTGTAGAGTCGATCTCCGGCTATAGCCGGTACAAGCCTGGATAAAGGAGGAGGGTCGGCCATCGGGCTGAAGACCCTATCCCGTAGAAAACTAACTCGCCAAAAATCGCTAACCAGAAAAATCAATTCAAACCATTTTTACTCTGCTCTGGCACTAAGGTCTTCTTTCAGGAAAATTATGACGTCTCATGCTGAAAGTCGAGTTCCCTCGGTAGTCACGAGGCCGATGCACCTTCTCACAACCAGAGCAACCATTCTTTTAGGTACATGGAACGTTCGAACATTGTGGGAGACTGGAAGACTATTTAAAGTTGCTGCAGAGATAAAAAAAAATACAATCTGGAGGTGTTAGGAATCAGTGAAACGCATTGGATGTAAGTCAGAGAACTGAGACTAGCTTCAGGGGAACTGCTGTCATACTCTGGTCACGAAGGGGAAAATTCTTCAAATACACATGGAGTTGCACTGATGCCGTCCAAACAAGCACAAAAGGCACTGATAGGATGGGAATCTCATGGATCCAGGACTCAACTAATTCAGGATAGCTATGAGCAACAGGTTCCATGCTTTTCATGATCTGCTCAATGGAAAGGAAGCCACCACGGAGGACAGTTGAGAGGGGACAAAGGAGGTAACCCCTTCAACATATTAGTAGGTTCTGTGCCATAGGAAGTACCATCACAATGAAGGGATCTCTGTTGATTCTCTTTAAAAAATCGAAGAAAGGAGGAACAAGATGGCCGCAATCAATGTGAGCCAAACAGTGACAGAGAAAGTTAAGGCACTAGCTGAATACACAGAAGCAAACAGGAAAGTGAAGAAGAGCATCACAGCCCACAAAAGTTAAAATGTAGAAGATCTAGAAATGACACCGGAAAGGGCTGCAAGAAGAAGGAAAATAAGACAATTATATGATACAAAAAAGCTCTCCGAATATTGTCGTAAGCCAGAACAACCAGTGACAAGCAAGGAAGTAAAAGTAATCAGAGAGGTCGAAGAACAGCGAAACATGTGGGTAGAACAATTTGAGGAACTCTCGAATCAGCCAGCTCCGCTGAATCCACCCAACATCGAAGCAGCATCCAAGGACATCCTAATTGGTGTTGGCGCACCAACAATTGAAGAGATCAGCATGGCCATCAGAGCAATCAAGAGTGGCAAATCAGCAGGACCAGACAACATTCTAGCAGAACCGATGAAAGCAGATGTGGAAGCAACTGCGAAAATATTTCACATCCTCTTCAAGAAGATTGGGGATGAGGAACAAGTACCATCAGACTAGAAAGAAGGATACCTCATCAAAATACCAAAGAAAGGCGATCTCAGTAAGTGTGAGCACTACAGAGGCATCACTCTTCCTTCAATACCAGGCAAAGTCTTCAACAGGGTATTGTTAAACAGAATGAAGGACTTCGTAGACGCCCGACTTCGAGATCAACAGGCCGGATTTCGTAAGGATCGATCGTGTACTGACCAAGTTGCAACACTATGAATGTAGAATTCTTTTTGAATGTTTTGTGTTTTTGGAAAATCCCTCCATGTTTACATATTTTTGCTATGACATGATGGACTTTTTCTCTTGACATTTTTGGTATTTTATGTGATTCCAATTTGAGATTTTATCATTGTATATTGTTATTCTTTCTATATTTGTACTTATATTGAAGTTTTTGGGTTTGCTTCTGAATTGTACATATATTGTTTAAATTTGATATAATATGGCTACCGCCACATTTTTGGACGGACGCGGTGGCTGCTGGACTTAGTGTCACTTACTAGCTATTGTGTTGGATACTCTGCGGAGTAATTTAACCCTGGAAGAAACACAAATTCCGTAAGACTTTGTATTTCCATTTTATAATAATATAGAGACGTTTTCTCCTAGAATTTTGCCCTTTTTGATTTGGTCGGGACCCGGAACTAGGAGGAACGTACAGGAGTGTTTCTATAGGAAACAATTGGGACAGCCACTGTCGAAATAAATCTACAGTCTGGAATTTTCTTCTTTCGTGGATTATACTTTGGAAATATTCATCTGAACATATATATTTTGGAACTATTCGGATTATTAAGAATTATAAAGAAACATTTGGAATTTTAATCGTTTATCACACTAGACTTCCTTGGAGGAAGAAGTTGGATTATTCATCGTAATTTTGCACTGAACTGTGGAATTACTCTATTTTGTATCTGTTACCTTTTCTACTGAACTTTATTTATGATGTCAAGCAAAAAAAAATCACACATGAGGAGGGTGGAAGAGCTCGACGGATCACAGGGCTCTAGGCAAGTCGTTAATGATAACTTTTTTATGGGTAACCCACATGTTATGTCTGATATTTATTATTGTAAGTCATCGATAGAGGGTTTAGAATTACCTAAGGTTGAACTCTCATTTTTTGATGGAAGGTCTCGCGACTATTTTAGGTTCATACGACAAATAGAGACGTTTATAGAACCTCGAATAAAGGATGATCAAGTGCGTTTATTGTATTTAATTCATTATTGTAAGGGAAAAGCAAAAAATGCGATTGAAGGCTGTATTATTATGGATCCACAATCAGGATATAAGAGAGCTAAGGCCATTCTAAAGCAGCTCTTTGGACAGTCGCATGTAATAGCGCGAGAAACCTTAGAGGACTTATTTAGAACT